CCTTGCTTCCACCCTCTGTAGGCTTCCTTTTTGTGTTTGAGTTTGTCCAGGAGCTCCTTGTTCATCCATGCAGGCCTCCTGGCGTTTTTGCCTGACTTCCTCTTTGTTGGGATGCATCGCTCCTGAGCTTGGAGGAGGTGGTCATTGAATATTACCCAGCTTTCTTGGGCCCCTCTTCCCTCCAGGGCTTTGTCCCATGGTGCTCTAGCAAGCAGTCATTTAACAATATTTTCAGGAAGTGCAAGAAACATAGATGCTATAAAAAGCAACTGTGAAATATGACTCTAGACTACAGTAGTTTGAAATTGCTCATGTCTTTGGCCTTAAAAGTGTATACACCTGCTGAAGAGTTCTTCTACCCTCCAGGGCTTTGTCCCATGGTGCTCTAGCAAGCAGTCATTTAACAATATTTTCAGGAAGTGCAAGAAACATAGATGCTATAAAAAGCAACTGTGAAATATGACTCTAGACTACAGTAGTTTGAAATTGCTCATGTCTTTGGCCTTAAAAGTGTATACACCTGCTGAAGAGTTCTTCTAAATCTTCCTTCTTAAAATCATTTGAAATGGTTGCCAAAGCAAGAGTTTCTGTGCTAGGAGAGGGCAAAACAATCTTTTTTTCCCCAGAACTATGCAGGCAGGATTGGCTATTTCACTTTAGTGCCTGCTCGCCTACAAATTTGACGTACAGTCAGCAGGGAGAGTACAAACTGTTAAAAGGACCTGGTCAGAAACTCTATGCTGTGGGGACGGCAAGAATCTAGAGGAGAGACTTCTGAGCTCAAGTTCCCAGTGGCATTTTTCTGCAGCTAGTGGTTGATTGTTTTCTCAGTCTTTTTCCTGTCACTAAATTTATCCAATCCTGAATTTACCAAATTGCCCACCATCACTGCACAAAATTGTGTGCAGCTGTGACAGTACGTAACATTTAGATATTTAATTGTTGTACGTTGTATTTCTCCTTCCTATCCTGTGATAGTCCTATCTGTTTAGAAGGACATGCGGATTAAGAGCCATGTACCTAGTGCAAGTCTCTAGTAGAACATGCATCATTATTGGATGCTCTTTAGTAACTACAGTTTGTCAGAAAGGGCTAAGCATCCTGCCTTCTGGATACCCAGTTCTTTCAAGGGGCCAGATGGGAACCCTAGAAGCAAGGCATTCAAAAGCTCTTATTTCTTGTTAGATATGGAGTTGAAAATTTGAACTTTTATCTGCCATTATCACTATCCATTTTTCAGAAAAATAAATCTGTTATCAATAATAATTGAAGCTCTAAAACCAAGTTTCATGGTTAAGAAACCAGTAACTTACATTGGGCTTAAGCTTGATATTGCACTGCTTAAAACATAGAATATGAAAGGTTTTATTTCAATTCTGGAAAAATAGTTTAAATTTTTGGCTAGCGATGTGGGAATGCAAAGATTACTGATAAGGGGGGGTGTTTCCTTTTGAAATTAAAACTTCTGGATAAGTTTATTCCATTTCTTTTCTCATCTCTGTAAGTTAGATTAGAAACCTTGGATAAAGTAGTGAAGTTTTTATTTTAAATGTGCTTACTCTTGAAGTTTGTGTGAAGTCTCAGTTTTAGGATACTTAAGAAAACTGTAACTTAAATTACTGGCTTTAGGTTGTATTAATCAAATTTTCATTATTCATTGCTGTGACTTGAAGGAACTATAAAAAGGAAGGAAAATAAGATAAATGAGAGTGGTTTCAGTATGATTTGTTTTATTACATGATCCATTTATTGCCCCCATCCTAATTTTTAGATTACAGATTTTCAGGAAAAAGTCCTTTACTGCCATTGCAAAATTATGGAGATTGTGAGCCTTGGAAGATGCAAAAAAATGCAATTGTGAGTTGTTAAATCCTTAATGATTTCTGATCCTTTGGCACTAATTTTGTTATAAATATTCAGACAATTCTCCATATATCTAGTCAGAAATTACGAATCTATGCATGTTTATGTTTCTACTCCTTTAAAGATGTTATCACTGAGTAAATACGATTTCTGAGAACAAAATCAATGATGAGGGGACAGCTAATCACAGTAGAGCTTTGTTGATTTCAATCTCCAGCTTAAGCAAAATCAAATAATGCTTTTTGCTTTATTGTTTTTGTAGAACTGAAAAGCAGACAAGGTTTCACAGGTTTAAGACAGACTGCATTATCCATTATGCTGGGCACTGAAAAAGGGTAAAGGAAATTGATGCCCCAGAATTCTCAGACTGTTATCCAGAGTCATGCAGGAGTTTGTCACCTTTCTTCCTCCTCTCTACTCATTGTCCGTCTCATTTAGCAGTTCTTGTATTCTCTCTGTCTGTGGTCTTCAAGACAGATTTTTGTTGTGTTAGACACTAACACGACACGACAAGGGATTGATCTTGGTCTGCTTTGAATGCTGCAAATACAGTATAGAGATGAGGGTTGTTTCAAAGGTTTAATTGTAGATCACATTTTTTGCTTTTGTTTATAATTTGTAGGTATTTTGAAATTCTCAAAAAAAAGAGCATGTTTGCTTTCAAAAAATATTATCTGTCGGGTTTTTTCTGCTTGTTTTAATTTTATTTTATTTTAGGCTTCTCATTCAGTCCAGCGGATCCTCGAGATGATTGAATTGCCCCGGAAATATTGCAGATTTTATTTCAAGACTTTGCGTGGGTGCGAAAGAGCAAAATGTTGGTTTTGTCATGTTCCTGAACAAGGGGATGAAAAGGTAAAGAGATTTATTGAAGAAAGGAACAGATTTTAAGTGTGAACACTTTTTAAAATGCAAAATGACATCTCCTTTGTTCATTTATATATGAAAATGGAGTAAATTTCAGAGATTGATGAATCAAAAAAATGTTCAGAAATTCTTCCTCACAAGGTCTTTCAAAGTTCATTTTTTAAAAAATGGTAGAATTTTGAACTAGTAAACTTTTTAAGAGAACAGACATCAGCAAAAGAGCAAGAATTAGGTGGTACGAATATAGAATACTAGAATGGGGAGATTCTGAGACATTTCAATCCCAAGCGTCAGAGACCTGTAAGCAAACCCAGACTTTGTATATATTCTTAAAGTCAAAAGCCATCTATGGTATATTACTTTCTGCAAGTTTTGTGTAACAGGGGCACGTTTGTTTAAAGATGCTCTAATCTCCTTAAACGGAGCAACAATTCTCATAATATTTGCAAGCAAAAATACTTTTCCAGTGGTGGGCAAAGTAGATGTGTTTTCAAACCATTTAACAAAGAAATTATGAGTCTGTAGTACTTCCAAGAACTGTGCAAGGCAAGCTAATTGTGCTGTCATGTAATAAGATTTTGGAATTGACTGTATGAAACCAAGACTTAGGTGGTTCCGTAAGTCACTTGGAAGCAAACAAAAACATTAAAACAACTAAACAAAGACAAATGCCTAAAACTGTCCTCATCAGGTCTTACAAGATTTATTTCTTATCTACCGTCTTATTGGTATGAGTACAATCTTATCATTGGTGTCAGTAAGTAAGAAATTACAGAATCAAAATGTAAAAAATAACTTGTGGTGAACCTGTTAGACATAAATACTAAAAAAAAAAGATAGCATTTAAAGGAGCTTATCCATCTCCTTGATACCTTAAATATACTGTGTCAGAATTTTTAAAATACATCAGTGTAATTTGGTTTTATTTTTCTCAATGTTTTCTCTTTTCCTTTTTATGTCTCAAAAAAGAGCTGAGGTGTTTTTTTTTCCTAATGCTTTGTAACCCCTTTGAAAATTGACAGCTTAAAAATACTAAGATCATTTGAGAGTAATTTTGTATGGGATGTTTTCCCTTTTCCTCAATTGTGAAATATCTTTGGCAGGCTGTAGTGCATATCAGTAATTTTCAGCTAGTTTGTATGAATTATCATGGTTTGTAGTGCTTCGTTATATACAGACACATTAAAGAATTATTTGCCTAAAACTATTAAAAATCCATTCAATTTGGTTTTACTTGTGGTGCAGCACTCCAGCACGCTTACTGTTCTGCCCACCAAACCTAGCCTAACTTTCTTGGTAGTCTGGAAGTATACTTTGGGGTTTATTTGTTTGTGTATTTACTTTTTTTTTTTTTAGAACTGTCCATTTAAAAATGATAATAGGCCAAGCACCTCATGGTGGCACCAAAGTACATAAATGGAAGACAGGTAGAGCAGCAACAAAGTCATCTAGTCAAATACAGGGGAAATAAATCTCTTTAGGAACTGTTATGCAGATTGGTAGTCCACTTGCTTAGTATTATGTTTTCAGTGATGATTGTTACCATAATTTTTGAAGAGAAATAGCTTTCCCCATAATGGATATTTCTTCCTTTTCACTAAGTAACTGGTTGATGCTTTAAGGCATAACTTACTAGGATTTAACACTCTTCACAGTTGTGGTTGATCACACAACACAGCAGTGATTTAATTCATAAAAACGTCATATGTTTTGAAAATCAGCATACTTGAGCTCAGCACGTTCTACAAGGTAACAGTTTTTTTTAAAAGATGCCTTTAATTTCAAACAGTGAAATCTCTTTTGTATTAGGCAAAGTAAACAAAACTATTAAGACTGTGTTTTAAATACTCCCTAAAGTATTTAAAGGCAGGGGGTGGATCTTAACAATGTGTATCAGTATCTGATGGGGGGTGTAAAGAAGATGAAGCTGGACTCTTCTTAGTGGTGCCCAGTGAAAGGACAAGAGACAGTGGGCATAAATTGAAATTACAGGAAATTCAGTTTGGCTTGAATGACACTTCTGACTGTAGCATAGATAATAATTGCACAGTTAAATAAGTGGTTTGAAAACATGTCTTTATGCAAACTGTATTTCTCAGTCTGATTTTATTTTAGCTTTGTGCACCTTACTCATTAATTTTTTGGACTTGTATCCAGTGAAGAAATGTTTACTTTTTGTGACTTCTTACGCTATTTTTCCTTGATCCTATGAACCTCTAACTGGAAACAAACAGCATATAAAATAGGAAGATTTCTGTCTTCATTAATGTCGCCTTGCAACTTAACGGCCTTGGGTGTGTGCTTCTGTTGTGTTGTGGGTTTTTTTTTAATCTGGCTTCCTAAAGAAATGAGACTTAAAGTTGCACTGTCCTTTTATTACTGTCTCTAACAGCTTTTAAATAATTTTTGAACCTGTTGGTCAGTTTCAGCCACATTTAATATGGAGTGGCATCTAATGGCATCTAAGTGGCATTTAATATGGCATCTCAAAGATGCCACAGGGTTCATAAACAGAATCTCTTGTAAAAAGGATCCTGGTTTTGATCTCACTGAGCAAAGGGCTGCAGCATGGGGTTTTCCCCCTTACTAAACATCAGAGTGCACACTGGCTGGAAATTCTGGTGTTTGTTCTTCTGTATTAAGCACCTCTGTGCTTTACTGTAGTAAAACTCTGTTTTACTGGACAGTCGGTTGCTTGTATAAGATACACAGCCCTTTGTTACAGTTTTTATTAAATTGTCATGTTAAATGAGTTGTGGAACCAACTGATAGGTGACAGAATAGTGTGATCTATACTACCTTTTGGAAATGGGAATTGTCTCTTTTCATGTACCTTCATTCGAAATCTATTAAGGTTAACTCAAAATTTAGAGATTCTCACATTTTTACATGGTCTGCAGGTTCAGTTACACCTTTAAAATTGAAACAACTAAATCAGCTGAAGCGTCCTAAAGCTGTAAATGAATCACACATTTAGTTTCTTTTATGAATGTAACTTAACAAGTCCCATGATTAAATACTACTACAATGGGATTTTCCAAGCAATTTCACTCATACTTGGAACAGTCAGAGCTCCAGATGCAATTTTGGCTTTTTGGGGGAGTCAGTCCAAAGAAGGAGGAAAACAGATACCAAAAGAAAGCAAACTAACTTGCATACTGTAAGCATGTGCTAAAGTTTGTTTTGGAAATGCCCTCAGCCACCTGGGATTGTAGATTTGGATTAAATGAGTTAACCCACTGCCAAGTGACACTGCATATATATTAATGATCGAAGATTCTACATGATTTTCTGAAAGGTATATTTTAGACTATAGTTCAACAACATTATGACACTGTTTCAAAATAAAACCAATAAGCTTTATTTATATTCAACATACTTCAACATACAATTTTTGTGTTCTTTGACTTGATGATCTGAACAGGTTAATGGTTTTAAAAAAAGAACGATGTCTTGGCCACAAGCCAGTATCTCCTGCCTTGATGATAATTCATTTGCTATGTAACAAACTCCGTGAGTGGATCCTGTCTAATTTTGAAGTTGCATGTAAAAATAAACCTGACTTAATTCTGCAATAACATGACTACTAATTTAGGGCATCTTCTGTCTCTTGATTTTTTATTATTTCACAAAATAGTATTAAATATGACCCATTTACATTGTTGTGCAGAAAGACTGTAAATGTTCAGAAGTGACAAAGGGTATCTAAAAGGGCGGGTGGTTTTTTTCCTAACTTGGAATTCTAAAATTTAGTCTCAGTAGTCTTTGTTTCTTCATCTGCAGAGATGGAGCAAAATGTGTAAGTATCACAAAGCTGATAGTTTAAGATGCTAAGATGAGAATGTTCCGATACCAGATAACATACTAAAATATCTAGGTGTGGATTTTTTTTTTAATCAAGTGGGTCTGAGGTGAAATGGTTCATTAAATCGAGTTAGTTCTGAGTTTTTTCTTCTGTGTCCTTATGAGTGAATCTTTGTGACGATCAGTTCATTTCTAGATGATTTTTTGATTTCTTAGTTGGTACATTCATGTAATTTTTGTTTATCGTGTTTTCACTTTCACCTTTTTGCTTCCCTTTCTCTGTTTGTTTACAGTCTGCCACATTTATACTAATTCCGAAGTAACTGTATTTTCAAATTCTTTTTTTTTTGTTTGCTATGAGTATATACCCACACATGCATGCAGTTGTGGTCCCAGCAGCTCCTTTCCCAAACATTTCATCTATGTTATTTTTCTATTTGATTTGCTGTCCTTTTGACAGTGCCTTTGCCTACAGACCCAATTACCTTCTTACACCATTTGTCAGTATGTAAGGGTTAAATAGAAGCAATGTAAAGCTTGTTTCCTTATAGAACTCATGTTTGTGGGTAGTTCTTTTGTTTGGCATAAACTGAGGTAACATTTTACTATGGATTTTTTTTTCCTCTTTTTCTAGATTTGCATGGCAATACTTAGGACATACATTAGTATCAAAGAATCAGGCCTTCTAAAACGTGCAGGTATGATATAGTAGTAGCTTTTGATGTATCTTTGATGCTTAGCTTATTTACAGCAAATTAAATAGTCTGTCAGGAGAGAAATGGGTGCCACTTCAACAGTGAATAAGAAGTTCTGATTTCGAAGGAATACATCCAATCCATATGTTTTCATGTTCAAATTTCCCATTGAGGCTAGGTATTTAGATATACAGTTATCTCAGGAGGCTGTTAGAAATCTTACTTCCATGGAAAATGAACTTGTCCTGAATGGAACTAGACTTAAGAGTAGAAATTAGTAACTGGGGCGGGGGGAGGTTTAACAGAACCAAAATTTTGTTAAGGGACTTTTGAACACCTTGGCCAAACATCAGAAATCCAAAAACTTCAGAATTAAGCTCTTGAAATGAAGTGCTGTTACAGCATGCAAACAGCTTTAGTGTAGTCCTTTCACATTACCATATATGCAGACAATTACGATTAACGCATTTTAGGGACTGTAGTTGATTCAGATCCATCTGAGCTTTTGAGTTCAGTCAGAAAGGGCTAAATTTTACTCTGCACAGTCATTCCTTTTGTATCTGTCCTGAGCAGTCTTAAGTTTTTGAAAGCTTATTAGAGCATAGTACAATGTGAACATGGGATCCAGTTGCACCCTGTGTAGTAATGTTCCCATGCTGAAATACTGAGCATTGTAATGCAGGTAACACTGGGTACCAGCAGGCTACAGTACGTGTCTATCAAGGCTAGCACTGGAACAGATTGTAAGACCATCCATCATGATAACACTGCACTTCACTTCCTAGAGCTTCGTGTCTGGAAATGCCTTAACTACCTTGATGCGCTTACCAAATCTAACCTGGTTTTGTGCATTTTTCTTGTGCTCCACCAAATCAGCTAAGCTTTCTTGAAACCTACAGGGCTTATGGTGTTCAGCTCAATGACATGAGATATTTCAGAATAGTCAGTCTGGGTCTAGTAAGGTTAATACTGTATTCAAACTGGATCCTTTCACCCGTTTTTCTCCATATCCTTGACCCGTAATATCCTGGATAATTAAGGGTTGTTACACTGCATTTAAAATTTAAGGGAATAATTTGTTTAAATAGTTAGCATCAGTTACCCCAAAGTGAAATTAATTTAATTGCTTTTTCAGTCCAAATATTTGTGAAATATTACAGAGAAGTTACTCCTGGTGTGGATTTTGCTTCTGAAGTGCTGAATGATCTTCTCATTTCTTTGCTCAAGAACTGTTTGTTGCGGGAAGTATTTCAGATATTGAATGTAACTGTACAAATCAATACACTGGTAGGTGACCTTGTAATATTTTTAAAAGCTTTGATCCATAGTTTCTTAGTTTTTTGAGTACTGTGCCATTTGTAGTAATAAGTTTGTTTTTACTCTGGTACTGAAATCTTGGGGAAAAAAAGAGCAATTCAAAAGTTCCTGTTATAAAAACTCTAAGCTTTCTAATTGAATGGCATTGCAAAACTGATTGTGCCTTTTTTGTCTAAATTAGCCAGCTGTAGATGTTCTTCTGAAAGTTTTTGAGCATGTGGCTTCTTTGAATATAAGAGACGCTGTGCCTACATTAATCAGTACCTTTTGTAAGGTATGAGTTTGATTGTACTAATGCTACTTCTTGGAATTTCTGAAATACCTTGCCTGTTTTAAAACTCAAACATATCACTTTAATATTATTTCAGTACTATTTTTTAAAAATTATATTGTGACTAGCTGAACAAACTGATTTTTTGGTATGGGTTTCCATTTATCCTTTACTTTTTGACTGAGATTCACTGTAACATGTTTTTCCCACTGTTGTTTGCCACTTGCCTCTGGAAATACGCAAGTGATCACAATTTTTTGTATGCTTACTTTTCTTCCCCCGGTTTGATATTACAGCTCATTGATGCTGGTATGTTCCTTGAGTTTGAACATTTTGACTATATTATTAAGTTCCTTCACCAACTGCAAGTTTCCAGTCAGGAAATAAATATTGTTTTGAACATAAAATCCAGGTATGTCTTTAAGGAGCTATTTTATAATTTTATCTGTCTAGTTCCTTCTTCAGGTTCTATTTTTATAAATTTATGTAAAAACTTTAAAAGGCAATTAGAAAATGCAAATTTAGTGTTTTGGATAAAAATACTATCATATCATGCCTAATTGTATTTTAAAGTGCTGTCAGTTTACTGTGCTTCAAAGATCAAGTATTGTTAAGTCAAAACTTAGATTCTGACCCCAGTTACGATTAGTTTTTTCCATCATCATTGCACAATCTGTTCCCAGCTGTGCTACAAGTTTATATAACTGTAGTCAAATTAGAAACATCATGGTTTAATATATCATTTAGGCCTGCATAAGCAAACAGTACTTCTGCAATAAACAACCCTTCTAGGCAATAAGAGGATTAGTTATAATCTGAAGTAGTTTTCTAGTTTCATTTACTGTGCAACTGCATAAACACTTGTGCCAACACAACTAGGGAGGAGGGTCATTTTTTAAGTACTGCTGGATTATGCTGGGCAAAATGTGAAATCACAGCCCAGATCTGTTCCAAAACTGTTGATGTCTCCCCATCACTTGCACAAGATTGTGATCCTTTTTTTTTTTTTATCACCTGCATCATACACACGCACACAAGCTGAGAAACTAAATTTGCGATTCATAAAGCAACCTTTGATTCTTAGAGGAAACCATATACGCAGCATCTACTGTGTGAAAACAAGCCATCACTGTTTCAAGTGAAAGCACTGTAAAAATTATTTGCTGCTCTTCATACTTTTCCCATAGAGTAACTTTCAGCCACGGATCTCAGTGGTTTACCAGTGCAACTTACCACACATGTTGGAGGTAATTTTTATCACTTCTCAGATCAAGAATTTGATTCACAAAGGAATGACCCCTTCCAGGTTGCCTCAGTACGTATGTGTTCTTAGCACAAACGGAGAAACAGTCTGTTATCTATAAAGACTGATCAGCTGTGCTACTTCAACTACATGTGTTAGCTTATTCATGTGTAGGTTATGTATCTCTACGTGATAGCATCACACTGGGTAGATGTATCCATTGTTTCAGTGGCGGCATCAGAATAAAGTAGTATGCTCATAGGTATTTGAAGCTGAATAGCACTTTCTTTCAAGTAATTAACTTTTTTTTTACCTTTATGTCAGAAATACATACAATACAGTTCTGCATTTTCTTAATGGATTGCAAGTCTTATTCATACCTTTTCAGTTACATTTCTACTGAGACGAGGGAATATTTTCTGTGAAAATAGCTATGCTCAATTATTTGCTTAATACATGTACTGACTTCCCTTGGCATGATTGTAAATGTCTGTTTTGAGTGTCCACTTTGCATAGTGTGTAGTAAATAGGATCAAAAATCACATCAGTTTTTAGTTCATATATGATAATTTGTTGATCACCTTCTGCTAGCGCATAGTTTAGTTCAATAGGATGTGTTAAAGTTAAGTATTAATATTTTTTCCTTATGGAAGATTTCAGGAAAGACATTTTGAAAAGAACTGGCTTTTTGACTTCAACTTGGCAGTGGCTGAAATTCAGGTACAGTATGTGCATTCTTCAAGCCTGTTGGAATACTTAAACCATGACCTCTTTTAAACCTACAAGAAATAAAAATTTCTACATAATCTAAAATTAGTGGGCTTTATTATTAAGTATATTGAGTTTATGATAAAATAATTTTATGCAAAGCCATGCTTGGGAAAGATTAACGTGCAGGGGAAAGCTGTCTTTGGCTTTTCTGTGATGTCAGTATTTTAATTTACATATTTGTCATTTTTATCTTGGTTTTGCATCTAATTCAAAGATTTTATAATTTTAAGCAATTACTTCCTATGCCTTACATTTGTTTTGCTTGTAATTGGTAGTGGTACATCATTCCTCACCAAAAAAATATTTAATATATTATTTAGCAGATAGAATTCATATCTGGTATAAAAAGGCACAGTTGTAAAAGGCTGTAGTTGGCAACACTTAAGCAGGTATTTTAAAGAATAAGAAAATACTATAAAAAATTCTTTAATTGGACACTTGCATCTTTCACATTCAAGGGCAGATTACTTATTATGCACAATTATAATATAGTTTACATATTATCACACTTGCTGCACAGATCCTGAGACCAAAATTTAAGAAGGGAAGTACCAGGACTGATATTTTACTCCTTTAACACCAAAGTCATCAAGTGATCTGGCAAGCAAAAGACTAATTCATCTAGAAAATAACCATCAATTTGGCATGCATTGTGCAAAAAAAAGATAGTAAAATACTGGATGAATGCCAGTTCTTAAATAAGATGAATAATTTATGAGCTTCCCCAGTTGGGGTCATGACATAAATGGAAAAAAGATTTTAATTTCTTGAGGGACAGAAGTGATTAGCAGTCCGTGCAAGTTAGGCAACATGTAACTGTGCCATACTGAACATGGAGGTTTGTGGCAGTAGCGTTTCATCTGCATCTTTTTTCTGCTTTAAGTCTATATCCCAGGTGTATCTCTCGAATTTCACTGTATTTTCTATTTGGTGTTCTGGAAGCAGGTTTGCTTATATTTATCCCTTGCCGCCTTCACAGCATTGCAAGGAAAAAAGTGATTGGACCAAGCTGGGAGCTTTGTATGTTAATGCAAGAACTGGATGTGAACATTTTGATGATCTTCAGAAATTGTCTTTATGTATTGCTGAAATGCTAACCAGAGATTCTGAGACAGACAGACCAGGAGTTCCTTTTTGTGATTTTGCTGATGCAGGTAAAATTAAGATGCAAGAAATGCTTTTTGTTCATCCCTGTTCTTTGTAGAGTTTTTAAAAGAGGTAAAAAAACAAATTTGAATACTGTTTTCTGAATATTAGTTAATTTTATGTTACAATATTCAGAATTTCTTGAGGTGCAAATACAATCAGCCAAAATGCTCAATAGAAATAATTTTCTAGTAGAAGTAAAATCCCCAGTGCTTACACTTAAAGTCGAAGTTCTGAAAGAAGAACATTTGAGCTTTGTGAAATCAAGAAACCAAAATTGGTGGTCTTTTAATAAGAATGCCCTATTCTCAGGACAAAGGCAAACATATTTAAGTATTGTCATGTGAAGTGTCACACTCTTAATAGCATAAATAAACTTTAGAGCTGTAAATACAGCTATATATGTATTTGTATGTTTGAAAACACATTGAACAGGGTTACATCATGTATCTCATTAGTACCCCCCCCCCCAGTGATTTGGATTTTCAGAATTACTTCATTCTGTAAAGAACCAAGAATTTCTGCAAGGGCTGGGTCCACAAAACACCTTCTAGTTTTTTAATAGTTCTGGCAGGTTTTCTTACCCCTTTCCTCTCTATGTCCCTTCATTTACGTATCTGTATCATTCTTCCTAATAAGTTTACAGGAAACTGAGGCTCAGTCAAGTGTCAGTGGGATATTAAAGCGTTTTATAATGGATGACTCAGATCTTTTTCAACCTGTATTAACTACTAAAACGTGATGAATATTTATTCCAGATATGTGACATGACTTTTCTGACCACAGACTTTCATATTATAAAACGGCTATCACAGCTTCCAGTTGTGACACAGACAGAAGATTTTGGTGGGGCTTGGAACGTAGTCTGTCTTCCCTAGAGCAGTGGTCTCCACACTCATAGGCACCTCTATCAGTAAAAAATTTTTGAGCACCCGTCTTACTTATTTATTTATTTATAAATTATATACATGTACTACTGCACTAATATATTAAGTACATTAGAAACCATACACAAAAATAGAAATCAAAAAGATGAGATAAAGATGAAAATAAACACTACTTTTTAAAATACTTAATTTTATTTATTTTTATTTTTAAATGGTACAAAAATATTTTCTTCCTACACCTGAATGGATTGTTGTGCTCACACCCCACTTTGGAGACCACTGCTCTAGAATACCAACAGTGCTTCCAAAGTGGTTGTATAATTTTGTTGGAAAAACTTGTACTCAGTTCTGTAGTCGCCAACATTTCTTCACGGTGACAGAAAATGCAAAGCTTACTTTACAAATAATGATGTTACTAAATTATGCCATTACATTTCCAAGCATCTTACGGATGAATTAGACTACTATGAAATAGCGTCTGAATAAATTATAGTTATTTACTCTAATTCTGGTGTTAAGACTTAAGAAGTTACTACTTTTAATGACAAATATTTCAGAAAGTATATTTAATATTTTCACAACAACCGTGTTTTTCAAGTGTGTAATTTCTTTAAAACTGCATTTACATGTAAAATTAAAAAAAAAAAATTGTTTTTTTTTTTCTTTCCAGTAATAAAAAATTCACAACATAATGAAGCAGACAGAATTTTCATTGGAAGGATTGGGATAAGTGTCATGTATTCTTATCACAAAGTACTGCAGTGGCTAAAGGTATACTGGACTATAGGAACCTCACTGGAAGAAAAAGAATGAGTCATTTCTTTTCTAGATGTTAAACTGTGTTTCTCTAGTTGAATGGCTGGATGTGCCACCTGCCTCTGCACCATCGTAGTACTTCTTAATTGTCCAGCTGGATCAAAGCATTTTATTGTGCCTTTCTGAGCAGTAGTCTTCTATGGAGCCCGTCATTCGTCTCGCAACCTAGAAACTTGATTGTTCAGGTTCAGCTTTTGACTTTTCTGAGCTAAGGATGAATCTGGATTTAGGAGACAGGTCTTCCTGAGATTCTGGGGCGAGGTGCTGATGGGATTGTTTCCCAGAAATGCCACTTTCTTCCATCTGGCAATACTGCTGTATTCTGAGACCTCCCAACTCAAGCAATATTTACAAAAGTTTGAGTGGGCCCTTCCCTGCACTGACGATTCTGAACCTAACCTCAAATGAAATGGATAAGGCCAGGAAGACAGAAGAGAAGCATAGCGAGGGTGCTACTGCTCTTGGTGAACTCCTCATTCCCCAGGACGTCACTAGAAGTGCTTTTCTTCCATTGAATCTAGGGTTCTAAGTTCTGTGAATCTTGCAAAGACTCGGACCTCACAAAGAAATACCCTTTACAATCCTTTCTTTGCTGCCAAATATTACAAAGGGCCAGGGTTAAGAGACTAGACCTTTCACTGGATGTTTTACACCCTTTAGGCCTCATGCAGTATTGATCATAAGTTCACTGCAGCAAGATCTGTTTCAATGTTAAATTCGTCTTTTTCTTCGTGGAAGGAAGCAGTGTATACCAAGCTGGATCTCTTATACAGTGCAGTGTGACCAGTGACAACCTAAGAAATAATAAAACCACCAATGATTTTGGAGTGTATTTTGGTCAGTGATCACATTCTGAACTTACCTTTGAATCAATGGGCCTGATCCTTACAACTAATAATTATGCTGTACTGGGATGTTCCTCATCCCATACAAGATGATTTCCAGCATGTATTTTTATGAACAAAAGCAAACACTCTCCTTGTCCCCTTTTGTCTCTTGGGGTTTTTTTTGTGAATTATTGTTGAGGAACCCTTTCTAGTTTGCATCAAAGGATTAAAATGTCTTTTGTACTATTGTCTCTAGGGGATGACCTTCAGGAATTCTGTTATGTAAAACCTGTGCACTTCTCAGTCTGTTTCCAGGGTCAACCCAAGTCCCAGGAGATATTTGATAGAGGTGCTTAGTCTAGAGGCAATGCACCCGTTTTGATGAATCATTAATTTTGCAGCATCAACTTGTTGAGTTGAATGGTCTTCAGCAGGTCCCTATCAAGCTGCAGCACAGTGTGGTACTGTTTAGGAGTAAAGGGAAGGAGAGAGGGTCTTTGCATTAGCACTTTTGTAGTGCTGCACTAGAACTTTCTGAAGCATTTTTGTTCCACAAAACTCAGCAGTTAGAACAGTTAAGATATTCCTGGCCATAGAGGAGGTAGTCTAAATTCTTGGCATTGAGGAGTGGTCAGTGCTCACATGCCCATCGAAGAGCTTAGTTTGGCTTGGGTTTTGGCTGTCTTCTTCAGCAGAGACAGCATATATTCAGTGTTTGTAGGGAAATGCCTTCCATACATTTTAGCTGTTTTCCAGATCCATCTTAAGGAAGATCCTGATATTTGGGTTGCAGGACCTCTGATATTCCAGGGAGGTTCATCTTCATGTCCTTATTTCAGAGGTGCAAGGTGTCAAAAGCATGTGTAGTGTTTCTCTTGTATAACAGTTCTTATGATACTATGATTTTTTTCATGTCTAGAGCAAAACATCATTGCTTCTTTGACAATGTTGTGTTAGGTATCAAGCCCACCTCTCAACAGACTGCTCACCAAGATCCTCAAATAGCCTTGTAGACAACCTGTGTTGACTATATGGGAATGTGAATGAGGCTGTGCTCTGAATGACTTATATCAGAACTGGCAGATTCCAAACTGGTCTTTGCTTCAGGGATGAACTAGAACTGCCATTCCTACCTCTCTCCAACTAGCTTCACTCCATTATATGTATCGGATAAGTCCCTAATCCTGTGGTTATGGGATAGTATCTGCTTGATCCCATGTCTTGGTTCTTCCAAAAAGTGGTACAGAAAATAAGATAGTGATGGATTTGTTCTTCCTGCTGTGCCCAAAGTAATTTCGGCTTTAGGACGTGCCCTATGCCATTTTATGAATATGTTGGACTGCCTAAAGCTCTAGATGTACTTTTCAGATCACTTTCCCTTCATGAACATCCAACCTCTTTATCACATAGCTTTGATGCTTGGTGGCTCTCAGGGGTAAAACATGTATGCTCCTTCATCCTGAAGAGAATATTCTTTGTAAGAGCTAAGGAAGGTTCATAAAACAGATGTATTTCGAAAAAACATGCAGATCTGAAGCATGTGAATAGGTCTTCCATGGAGACAACTCTTCAAGCAACACTAGACTACTTTCTGGATATTTACTTGTAGAGGATCCTGCAACATGAACGCTCCTTTGGCAACTGTTTCATCCAATTCCTATTTCAACTATTTCCTATCTTGAAGGACTTTGCTATGGTTTATTTTTACCCAACTTTTTATTACTTCAGAGGATTGGTCAGAGGTTCTTGTGCAATTAAGGATCTCATTCCCCAACTGCATTTTAATTGTGTGCCCTTCCTTTAGAGATCATTTGTGCTTATAGCTGCATGCTTTCCATCTTTTTATAAAGACCCACTTCTTAGTGGCCCGCCCTTTTGCTAGAAGGATGGAATAGATGCAGATCCTCCTTAATTTTGTATTTTGTCTCTGATTTGCACTTAGATTTCAAGTTTCTATTTTGCTGTCAAAGTTTCACCTGAGTCTTTCTGGTATGTATTTTTTCCCTTCAACCATATACATCTACAGTTGAATGCATTCTTTTAAATGTTAACTGCAGTGATGTAGTTAGCATTCCTTTATGGATTATGCTGAGATAAACCATTGCAGATACCTGTAGGCCTTCAAGTCTCCAATTTTGAGTATATACCAGTCCACAGTATGTATATGCATATGCATAAAGCATTTTCAAAAAATGAGCTTCTTAATAGGTAAGTTTCATTTTCTGTCAACTTCTCTGTTCTAAACCTCCCTTTCCCTCTACTTCCATGACCATTGTTCCACCACCACAATGCACGCACACACATGACCACGATTTTTAATAAGCCACCTCCTCATTGATGCACGCACTAAGCAAGAGCTCAAATATGTCTAGGTTGGAGTTTCGTTCATGTTGCTTGAACAACAAGGTGCAGCCAGACAGGACAAGTGCTGAATCCTGCCTGTCCTTGCCTTACTGGGGACGTTAATTTGATATCCCACTTTGACTTGATCATCATAATTTTGGATTGATCAATCTTAATTATCTTTGAGACTGCTACCTTTCTTCCACCTCTGACTGAAAAAGCCAACCAAAAAGTTGTTAAGAGGGAGCTTCTGTAGGAAACTAGTCTACATATCAACCTGGAATATGATTATAAAGTTGTTGGTTGCTATACTGTTGGCCAGACAGGCCCAACTTTTTCCGGCTTATTGTCCTGCCGGGTACAACTATCACTGTTTTCTTTGGCTTATGCTGGAGTAATTATTTCAGTTTAACAATTATGCCTCTGCTGCAAAATGAAAACTCTCTGTATGATCTTTTTAGAGTTTTATAGGTTGTGTAGTGCTGAATGGAATCAAGAGAGTAAAAATATTAATATACTAAAGTAAGAAAATACAAATTAATTACAAAGTGTATCAAAAATACTGTATAGGAATATTATATAGTAGAAGTAATGTTATGGGGAATATTGTGCTGGGAACTGTTCCACAATGGGTAGTTGGGGGATTTTTGCCTACACAGTCAAAAAAAACCCTTACTATTCATTAGAAATTTTACTGCAATTTCCCCCCCCCCCGACTCAGTTTGGATAACTAAACTGTTTCCTA